GGCGCGAAAGCACGAAATATCAAAAGAAAGCAATGGTCGAAGGTTCCAAGAAAACGTTGCGAAGGAGAAGGGAACGTAGAGAAAATTCGGGATTATCGAATGAATTTGCCGGCTTGCTTAGCATATCTACAGCGAATTTATTTACTGCTTATTTTCACATTAGCGTACCTTTCACGTTGGCCGAGAGATTCGCGATACGCAGCCTAATTATACGTACGCGTGAGAGAGAGAGACGGAAAATATGATTTCGAATGACACGCAGCCGACGCTGTTTACATACGCTTGCTTCCCGGAATTCTCGCACGCAATACTGAGACAACGAAGGAGACTTACGCAGGCGAACGCGCTGCAGATAGCTACGCCTTGGATCTCGAACCTAGTTATTCGACTAACGTCACCCAGAGTCGTCGGGGGTGAGTGTCCTACCGGCCGGTTCTTGTGGGTGGTGGGCGACGTGTTGAGCCCCTCGGCTCGTGTGATAGCCTTTAATCGGCCCCCGTTGATCCTTGCTCGTCGTCGATTTTTCCGTGCACCCACAACACTCGCTCCTCACCGTTCTTGCTTGTCACCACATGGGATCGATTCTCCGCTCGACTTTTCGATGAAACAAAAAAACAATTCGAGGGCTTTCATGCGCGTCCATTCTGCTTACCGGTCTCACGTGTACTACTCGGCCCGCGTGTCCTAGCTATATTTCTCTCTCTTTCTCGCTGCGCGGGTCTTTTGCGCATGGCGCGCTATTTCGAAAATCGCTCATCCACTTCTTAACGAGCCCGCTCGTTACAGTATATAAATCAATTTTCAAATGTCAACCCCAGTGAAAGCGTCATTTATTCATCAGATCGAAATAAGATAAGATATTCGATATAAAAAAGGCTTGTAACATAAAAAAAATTTTTTTTATCTCGTAAAAGAATACTGAAGCGTTTCACATAACAAGAAATAAAACCTTGACATATAATATAGCGTGACATATAATATTCTATAATAAAACGTGACATTTTAGAGTAGTTTTTATTCGTTCGAGATATACTCTTAAGCCACTTGAGCAAGTTTATTCAATCTCATGCGCTCACTTTGCAAGGCTAGGAGTGAATGCTAGTCTGTGCAAAAATCAGCGTATTTATACACAGATTTTCTCGTCTATTTTTGCAGGATAGCTCTCTTCGAGTTGTTTACGCAATTGTGAGAAATCATTTTTTCAAATTTACAAGAGAGTAAAGAGTAATAATGAAATTTTAAATAATGTAAACTTTACAGAAGTAGATATAGATCATTTTAGTATAATTTATAATTATCGCAAAAAGTATCGTCAAAAGTTATTAACTAATAAAGTTAATTAATGTGATAGCGCATTATTTACAATAAAACTAATAAAATGTGACATAGATTAAGAGTTTATCACTAATAGAAGTAATTTCTAAAAAGAAATACTTAAATTAGTTAATAACATTTGAATTATAATAAAAAATATAGTTAATAATTTATAATAATAATTTATTTTATTTTATATTAATAACTTTTCGTATTTGTAACAGTTTTTTGTAAAATCTGATAATGCAAATACTAGGTTAGTTAATTAAGATCAATAAATTATAAAGTTGTCATTTAACGCTTTCGATCTATATACCGTAACGGGGTGGATTAGCTGGTACAAAATGGGTTTATTAAAGAACAAACTCCTACGATGCAGAGCTAACCGCCGCTCCGTTGAGTATACGCGTATTCGCCTTTATGTTTGATATTTTCGTTCAGATGTCTCCTTTCCAACAGAGTTGAACTCACCTTAAGTGACACTCGATCTATCTTAGGTGTGAGTGACCTAATGTTGACTCCAACTATCCCCTAGATGAAATCGGTTTAAAAATTAACCGGTGACGGAGCCGTTAAACAAAAAGGAATCGAAATAACGTAATGCCGTGAATAAAATTAATATCGTTTATCTCTAATATAAACTATAGTCTTCGATGGGCCGAAACACTTACGCACGTAAATAGGATTAATAACTTGTCACAATAATACGGGGAGTGAGAGAGAGAGAGAGAGAGAGAGAGAGAGAATTTAAAATTCTACCGCGAAAACTAACGCTCGGCGCGAACACACAAACGGTCGCGATAGACAAAATATTCTCGTAAATATTTTGTCGCGCAGAAAAAATGGAGGTGCACCTACCCTGCTGTACAATTACGGTGATCAGCCGTAATTGTTGAAGAGAAATAACTGGTGGTGCTCCTGTGGAACCAACTGCGCTGCTTCGGTCACGAATATCGGTGACTGTTGCTGTTTTGCTGCTGCTTTAGTTGCTGCTGCTTTTACTCAGCTTCCTCGATATCACTCGCGCATGTATCCAAAATCAAGAAAAACTTTCGATTGAAAATCGGCAAAACACAGTGCAAAACTTTTGGCGGTTCTATCTACAACAGCTGAGGCTTAACTGAAACTTTGAACTCTCGCGCGCATTCTCTCTCTCTTAGACGTTCGCTCTAGCATCGCGAGTGCTACCGAATCGCGAACGTATCGATTGATCGAATCGACTACCGTTGCAATACAATTCTATGTTTAAATAAATTATTTATTATTTATTTATTGATAACAGTAATAATTAAACTTTTATCAATGAAACCAATTCTTACTCATGTTTCTAAAATATTCATCACGAATTTAGAGTATCCGCATTATTCTGATAATTAATATTTACAATGTAATAAACAAATTAACTTTGCATATTAAAATTCAATATAATTTCGTAATTGAATGCAATTAAAATTATTATAGTCTAAAGCTATGCTCTGAAATCTATATAAAAAATGCTTTGTTTCATCAAAATTACTTTTAATTAACATATTTTAATAAAATAACAAACACTATTATATATCTATATCTATAAGTATCATCCTCCTTATATGGTCATGAAATTTGACTCCGGTACTAAGACAATCAAATAATATATAAGGTGGCACCGTTTAATATGCTAATCAATGTAAACAGATTGATGAGTTCAGCGGGTTGCAGTGATTCAGTGAAATAAGAAAATAGCTCATAGATAGGACCGTTACATAGCCCCCTCTTGAGACTGAATGATCTATGAGAAAGAAGTCTCATGATTCAGTGCTCTATGAGCTTTTTATTCTAATTTCTTTATTTGTTTGTTTTTTTTTTCTTTATTATTTGCAATATTATTTATATTATTTATTATTTTTTCTGCTACTCTTCTATTAAGAATTTTTCCGACGTTGGTGGACGTTCCGGTTGTGTAGTAGCTAAATTTTTCTGGAGTTCCACAATTTCCTCCTCCGTTTTAGCAATCCTCGCAGCCAGCTTGCAGATCTTCTTGCGCATCCTGCGCTTCCGCTTCCTTAACGTTGTTGGAAGGGATGCGGAAAGCACAAGAGATGCTGGGGCGAGGTACACCAGAGGATAGGAAAGGAATCGTGGAATTTCTTTTGAATTCTACCTTCACCATCCAAGAAGGCTTAGATGGTGTCTGTGTGCTTTTGCACGCAGACCTAGGCACCATATTTTGTGATGGCTTAAAAATTTCAGTTCGAGGGAAAGGACTAAAGTCTTTCAAATCAGATAAATCTATCTGAGTTGACTTATCTTTCCCCGTCTCAAAAATCGTTAGCTCACTTTCTTCAGTACAGTCGAACCTCTGCTACTGCAGCCTCCGCAACTGCCCGACCTCTGCCACTGCCCGTTACCTAGCCTCTCTAACTGCCCGATTTATGACTCGAGCGCAGTGTCGTACGCTCTCGGTCACTTACCTGGCACCTGCCGGCGGCGCACTTTTATGGGTCTGACGCCGACGCGTCGCTCTTATATCTTGCATATCTTCAAGTATAAGATGACTCCTTGTAATTTGTGACTTATGATTTACACTCCTTGTAATTTATGACTCTTGTAATTTGTGGGGGGGGATATGTACCTAAATTTGTAACATTTTCTCCGGGCCCCCCTCGAGACCAGCGCGGCACGCCACTCAATGCCCGTACCTGACGGAGCGCTCTTATTGGCTAACGCCAGAGAGCCCGTACCGGGCAGTGGCGGAGGGCAGCAACTCCCGAAAACGTACAGTAGCAGAGGTCCGACTGTATTTGCATATATTTAATCAATATGCAAATTTTCTTGGAGAGAGGATAAGTCCCCTAGTAGTATAACGGGCTTATTTAGTTGTATTTCGAGAGACGGAGGCCGTTATAACGTCGGAACACTTACCGATTCCGACTTTACATCCACTCTACTGCACGGCTAGATGTCATTCAGGGAGCGGGAATCGAAAGAATAACGCGAGGGAAATCGGGTAGAATTTCTCGTATATTGTCACTAAGCGGAATACAAGGGAATTACCGAGGTCGAGCCGCAAACGCTAGCGCGGACAAACGAACGAGGAATGTTTCGATTACTCACACAAACAATCATACACGCGCACACACTCACTTCTCATTCTTGGCGCAAGTCCTGTCGTGTGCCTCGGAGAAGTTGTGGACATGACGGACGACGGTGTACAAAAAAAGGGGGGTACTCACGGCGCTCAGTCGAACCGCAATTGCGTAAGCGCTAATCGCAACTTCTGGGTACTCGGTGCCGGTGCTCGTCTACTGCGATGATCCGGCGACGAGAAGGTGGATTGTGCTGCTGCTGGTAGAGATCTACCGGGTAACGGGTCGGCGAAAAACGTCGTCGTAGGCTAGGGAGCACTTGTTGCGCGAGCACGGGAGTGAATCAGTAGGTTATGTTTGGAGGTGTTGTCGCTAAGGCAGACGACTTGGTAGTGGAGCCGGCCGGCCGCTTCTGCTCTTGCGGGGGGTAATGTCGGTTCGTTACCGACTGATGGGGCCTTACGCATCCCGTTACATCCCCCCCTAGACGTCGCTTAATTATAAGCGACTCGATAACTAAACGGGAGGCGGAAATAAAACGCATGTAGATTGTTGGCAGTGGGAGAAAATAGCGCTTTATTTTTTATTTTCGGCGCTCAGTAGAAGCGGCGCCTAGGGCATTTATAGTGGGTTGCTCCGATTCGGGCACATTCTGCCGGTTGATACTTGTGGCTCGCCGCAGATGATGCAGCTGCGCTGCGTTGTCCTCGGCGTACGTCGTCGCTGCTGGTTCAGTGGAGCTTCTTCAGCTCCTGTTTGATCTTGGAGCTGGGCTTGGAGTTGCTGCTCCTGTCTAGCCAGCTGTTCCGCTCGTTCCTTGGCCTGTCTGGCCATTTCTTCAGCCCGCGCTCTCTCTGCTTGGAGCGCTTCGATCTCCAGTCGGCGCTCCTCTTCTCTACGCCGTCGTTCTTCTTCTCTCTTGCGCTGCTTTTCTCTTCGCTGGCGCTCGTTCTCGCGGTCGACTTCTTCATAGTACGCGTCGATGGCCGAGATCTCGTTTTCCATGTGGAACACGATATCGTCCCACGCGCCGATGGCCTCTGCGGCGTTAGCGTTCGCCGTTAACTGGCGGAATTGACGGAGCGCCGAGCGCTCCAGGGCTTTTGTCTGCCTGTACATCACCTCCAGACGGCGTAACTTGGCGTCCATCTCCTTTATACGTTGTTGGAGATCCGCGCTGAGGTGTGAGATGTCCTGTAGTGGGACGACCTCATTTTGGAAGGTGGCAGTCTCCTCCCATTGCGTCGCCTGGTTCTTCTTCCCTGGTGGGGGAGCCGGGGCGGCGATGGGCCCGCCTGTAGCGAGGGCTGGGAGCTCTTTGTCCCCAGCTGCGATTACGATCGAACTCGCTGTCGATGGGCCGGATGCTCCCTCGTCTCCGGAGATTTCCTCGATGACGATGGAGCTTCGAGTTCGCTCCATCTCCTCCTTTTCCGCCTTTTTGTCGGCCTCGTCCCATGCTGTCATCGACATGGTCAGCAAGGCGTTTACCTCCTCGCTGATCTGGCAATTGAAGAGCTTCTTGCAGAGCTCCTCGAACATTAGCCTGGCCTCCCTCGTATCTTGTTGTTGCATCTACGGAAAGAACTCTCAGGTTAGGTCATAATACTTTGCGCGCTTGTGTTTGAATGGGGCGCCTAACGACGTATTGTACTTTATGGGGCCGGCCCCTTTTCCGTTTCGCGAATACCGGGATCGCGGTTTCATTCATACCGGGCTCTTCGGGAGCCGCTACGCGTTCGTTTATTGTTTGTTCTTCCTGAGTCACTGTTTCATTCGGCGGGTCGCGCTTTGCCTGATTGTCCGTCGGTGGTTGTGGCTGTTCAGCATCCTGGTTTTGGTCTTCGATTTCTTTGTATTTTTGTTGGGGATCTTCTTCTCCGAAATCGTAGATTTCGTTGAACTTTTTCAGATCTTTGGCCGGAATTAAGTCTTCTATTTTTCCTTCAGCGTCCTGTAGTTTGTACGTGTTCATCCCACGTACTTGAATAAGTAAGTAGGGGCCGCGGTACGATGGGGCTAGTTTGGCCGATATGGCTTTTCCAGCTGAGGATTGTACTCTATTTACGAGCCATACTACGTCGCCTTCTTGCGTTGTAGTAATGTTCTTGTCTCTCTTTTTCCTCGTTTGACTTTTGTGCTGCTTCTTAGAGCGTTTGTGTTAGCTCCTGCATGTGCTCGTACCAGCGGTCTGCAAGTGATCGCTGTAGCTCGTCTTGGGCTAGACGGTCTTGTTGCTTACGGACTGTGTTGGGTGGATCTAAAATGCAGCCGTAAATTAGTTGGGCGGTGCTTTTTCCAGTTGCACTTGATACCGCCGTATTGAGAGCGAACGATAGCTCTGGTAAATTTCGATCCCATTTTAAATAAGAGTCGACGATGTAAGACCTGATCATCGCTTTAAGAGTGCGGTTTACTCTTTCGACCGGGTTTGCCTGCGGGTGGTGAACCGGTGTTGTTGAGTGGATGATTTTTTTGGATATTAGCAAATCATCCACTTCTGTGTTTTTGAATTCTGATCCATTGTTAGAGTGAAAGACTTCTGGTGTTCCAATACGGTTTATTAATTTATGTAACTCTTCGATGATTGTTGCGGCGTTGGCTTTTCGTACGGGTATTATCTCTACCCAGCGTGATAACGCGTCTTAGAATACTAGGATGTAGTTGTATCCTTTTTTGGTTTTAGGTAATGGTCCTATGATGTCACCTGCCACTACTTGTCAAGGTTTTTCTGCCATTCTATGGCCGAGAAGCCCTAGGGGGAGCCTTTGCTCTGGTTTACACTGCTGGCATATACTGCACCTTTGTACGTATTTTCGTACCTCGGCATAGAAGTTTGGCCAGTAGTATAGTCTTGCCACTCTTTCGAAGGTTTTTTCCCTTCCGAGGTGGCCTACGGTGGCGTCGTCGTGACATTCTCGGAGTATCGCTTTTCTGTATTCCTTTGGGACTACTAGTTTCCATTCGTCTTGGAACGAAATCTCTCTTTCGTCTGTGTAAGTTCCCTTATTTCGAAGTACATACAGGATTTTTCCGACGATTTTCCATCGCGGATTGTCTTCTGGGTATTCTGAGTTTTTTGGTATTGTTGTCTGTACCATTCATCTTTAGTGGTCTGGGACCAAGTTACTGATGCTAACTGGAGTTTTTCTTCCTCGAACATTCTTGAAAGTGGGTCCGCTAGGTCATTATGGATACCTTTGATGATGACTATTTCGTAGTCCAATTCTTGTAGGTATATTATCCACCTGGCGAGCCTATTAGTCGGACCCTTCATTGACTTGAGCCATTGCAAACTGCTGTGGTCTGTCATGATTTTGAAGTGGTATCCTTCTGTGTATGGATGGAATTTTTTAGTCGCCCATACGACTCCGAAGCATTCCCGCTACGTCACGCTGTAGTTGCGTTTGGCTGGGTTTAAGTTTCGACTCGCGTATTCTATAACGAATAGCTGGTTGCCAACTTCCTGGAGCAGTACTGCTCCTAGCACTGTGTCGCATGCATCTTTGTGGATGACAAACGTGCCGCCAGGTCTCGGGCGTTGCAAGACTGGGGCTGAAATCATTATTGCTTTTAGCCTGTCGGACGCGGTTTGTTGGGATTCGGTCCATTCGAATTTCCTACCTTTCTTTTTTAGTGCCGTGAGTGGTTTTGCTATTGCCGCGTAGTCTTTTATGAATCTACGGTACCAGGAGGTCATACCTATGAATTGTTCTAGTTGGTGAAGGGTTTTCGGGGCCGGATAGTTGACGACTGGTGCAACTTTCTCAGGATCCGACCTGATCCCGTCCCTATTCACCAATAGTCCTAGGTATCTGACCTCCGATTTGCAGAACTCGCATTTTTCGCGGTTCACTGTGAGGTTGGCGTATTTTAATTTTCGAAGGACTATTTCGAGGTATTTTTTGTGGTCCTCGAAATTCTCGGTGACTATTATAACGTCATCTAGGTATCGAAAGACGTTAGGTTCGAGTTCGAATCCTTTTATACTGTCTAATATTCTCTGGAAGGTTGCTCCCACATTGCACAGTCCGAATGGCATCCTATTGTATTGGAAAAGGCCCATTCCTGGTACGGGAAATGCTGTTATGGGACGTGATTCCAGAGACAGTGGGACCTGGTGGTATGCTGAGCTTGGGTCAATCGTGGAGATGAATTTGGGTTGACTTAGCTTCTTTAGTATGTCGTCCATAAACGGGATGGGGTAGGCATCCTTTTTGGTGACGGCGTTGACTTTGCGGAAATTTATACAAAGGCGGTACTTTTCTTCTGCTCGCTTGATTAATACGATTGGGCTAACCCATCCGCTTTTTGATGGTTTTACTATCCCTTTTGGCTGTATATCCATCACCATTTGTTGGATGATCTCCTCAATTTTCTGGGATACTTGGAAACCTCTCTGCCTTATAGGCTTTGCATCGCCGACGTCAATGACGTGCTCGAAACCTTTCACACAGCCCAGTTCTACGTCTGCTTCTCCTAGAATGCGCACTAGCAGCTCCTGCAGCTCCTTCCTTTGATCATTGGTAGTATTTGCTGTACCGATGGCTGCTAGTGATGCTATATTTGCTTCTAAGGTTTTGATTTCTAGATCGAATTTTCGTCTGAGTTTTTGAATCTCAATTGGTCCAAGTCTGGGTCTATGTATGAGCGAAAGGCTCTGATAAAGTTAACGCCGAGTAAGCAGTGTTCGTTTATGTCCGGTACTATTCCTACCCGGATTTATTCGGTAACGCCAGCCACTGTAAAGGGTAAGCAGACGTATCCTAGCAATGTACACTAGCTTCCGTCTGCCACTTGGACTGTGGACAATTGCTCGTGTTAGAGTCGTAGACCGAGATGCGATGCGGTGAGGAGTTCCATGCTGCCCATGGCTGTGCTGGAGGCTCCGGTATCGTACAACGCCCTAATTTTAAAATCGCCTATTTTTACGCGGAGCCACCATCGAGTGTGATCTTCGGGATTGTATGGCCGGCTAAGTTTTTTTTCCCATTTTCTGTTTTTTTCTAAGTCGCTGATAGCTTTAAATATTCTGTCTTCGAGGATGCTTTTTTCCTGTGTGACTGTATCAGCTTCAGAAGAGAAAATATTTTATGGGAGAGTCTTTGTAGCCGTTGGGTTCTCCTTGGTTGGCTGATTATCTGGGACCTCGGTCGGAGTGAGACGCTAGGGGTCCTGTCTAGTCGCTCTTCTTTTCGTTTTTTGACTCCCTACAATCTGGGCATGAATATTTGCTGTAGCTCAAATTTCCGCAATTGTCACATTTGAGGGGCCCGTTGAAGCGCCTTCTTGATGGTGGTGATTTTTTACCACCTGTTTCTTTATCGGGCTTTTTGTTTTTTGTAGCCACTTTGTCATTGGTGGCGGTTTTGTTGTTAGCGCACATGTTTTTGAGTTCCTTCCTTACATCATTTTTAAAATCCAGGTTAGTTTGCCATAACTTGGTCAGCTCTTAAAGCAACTCGTGGTGTAGCTTTGGCAGCCATCCCTGTCCTACCGCTGTTACTTTGGCTTCGCCGTCCTCTTTGGGAGCTTTGTATGCTAGCTCCGGTAGCAGGGCTTTGGAGGGTTCTGGTGGCTGTCGATATAGTTCCGCCGTTGCCAGTGATTCTTCTGCCTCTGTTGCCAATTCGAGCAGGTCTTCTATTGTTCTAACGTCCGCACTTCTAACGTGCTTTTGGATCTCCGGTAACATGTTATTATGTAGAAGATCCAACTGAGTCGTTAGTGGCGGCGTTGACTGCATTCTGTTCATTATGCCCGACAGGTTAGTTATGTACGTACGTACTAATTCCTCCTTGCCTTGGAAGCGACTGTGCGCAGTCTCTGTTGGAATCTTCTGCCAGGCCCGAACCAACACCGGGCTAACTCTAGGAAGTCGCTGTAAGTCTACCAAGTGTGCTGGTGGTTACGATACCATGTGAGTGCCTTTCCTGTGAATACTTCGGAGAGGGCTCCCAATATTTCCATGTCCGAAATTGTTGACGAGGTCCTGCATTCGTTCATTCTGGTAAGAAAAACTTCTAGACTTTGGTTTCTGTCCCCAGAAAACTTCAGGTTCCATTATCTTACTGTTTGTCCTGGATCATGCGTGCGAGCTCTCGATCTGGATGAGAATTCTGCGTTGCAGCACCCGTCGTTGGTGAACGTTGCGTTCGTATTAGTTGGAGCTCGACGGGTTCTTCCTCTTGGTGTGTCTACCGTGGTAGATTGTGTGGACCAAACATGCTTGGATGTGGCGTACTTCCTAAGGGTCTGTGCATATCTTCCGTCATGAACGTTTGGAAATCCACTCGGCGTCTTTCTTTAGTTTGCCGTTGCAGCTGCACGACATTGTTCCGTAGCACGATTATTTCCCTGTTGCTACCGTTGTAGCTATTCTGGAGCTCGTCAATCTTTCTGCTGATTGTATTAATCAGGGCTCCGAATGTACTTGGGATTTGGAACGGGCGGTTGTTTTCGTCGTGCAGTGTGACGATATCCTCGTCCGCTTCGTGGTTTTCCGTGCTGTTATGTGCTTCTTGTTGCATATTTTTGGTAATCTGTTGTAAGCCTGGTGAGTTGGGTGTTTTATTTTGCTCGACTCTTGGTGCTGTTGTTTTGTTCAGGTTTTCCTCTATTGACTCGTCTTCTAACAACTGTTTTATCAGGGTTAGTGTTCCATCAAGTGAAGCTTTAGTTGAGCCTTCTTTTTCTTGTTCTTCAAGGAATGTTTGTCGGAGAGTGACTCTCCTGGACATCGTTTCTGTCGTGTTTGCGTCGTCGACGAAGTCGGATGCTGTATAATTACTTAACATCCACTGTTGAAACCTGTCTATTTTGCATAGCCGTCTCCCGTCGCTTCGCATTTCCAGTTGTTGGAGTCGCTCGTTGAGGGTTTCTTCGTCCCAATCCAGTAACCAAGCTTCGGTTGCGTTGATTATTCTATCCATAATGCTTTTTATTATTTTAACTTTTTTAGGGTTGAACGACTCTCAGTTCCTTATTACTAACCGCGAGATTCGTTAGAGACGTTCAAGCCTTCTGCGTATAAGAGTCTATTTATCTGTCTTTTTCTTTTTTTTTTTTTTAAAACGTTGCTATAAATTGCACTGATTTTTATAAATATTTAATATAAAAGGAACCCAAATGTTGCGATAAAATGGGGTGACTTAATTAATTTATTTCACCAGGTGTTGTGAAAATTTGTATAATTAGTTATCAATAATAATTAACTATTGTTATTTGTAATCATTCGCTGAACGGTCAACGGTCTATTGTTAGTATGTTATTGAAAATTTTTTCGAGAGAAAATTTCGAGTAACGTTGGGCGAAAATAATAATTATATGTTAATAATTATAATTAAAGTATCGATATAGTTAATGCCTAAAAAAAAAACTAAATATCGACAATTTATTCTTTATTGTAATTTTATTATCAGTTGAACGAAATTGCATTCTTTTGATTTATATACATTAAATTGTCAATATTTCGTTTGTCGTTACTGTTTGTTATTAACCTATGTTAGTATTAGTAAAGGTTGCTCGACCTTACATATTTTCGAGTACATTGAGTTTGAAACAGTAATGACTTTTCAGCATTAACAATTAGTAACACCTGGTTATAGACTCTTATCGCAAATTTTGTGAAAATAATTTTTCATACGGGAAAAACAAAAAAAAAGATCATTCATACTTGCATACCGCACTCACTATTTAATTTTCGTTTAAATTTCGTTTCACGCGTACCTTGAGCTTGTGTTTCGCTCTCGATTGTGCTCGGGCGCTTTCATTGCTGTACGTGCTTTGCCGGAGAGATGTTTATATTCTCTCCTACTTTCGCGTTTGTTTACGTTTCGCGGCTCTGTTTGAAACACGACGCCTTGACCTTGTATTTAACCGTAATTTCACGATTATTCTATCACGTTGGGCGCCAGTTATAACGGGCTTATTTCGTTGTATTTCGAGAGACGGAGGCCGTTATAACGTCGGAACACTTACCGATTCCGACTTTACATCCGCTCTACTGCACGGTTAGATGTCATTCAGGGAGCGGGAATCGAAAGAATAACGCGAGGGAAATCAGGTAGAATTTCTCGTATATTGTCACTAAGCAGAACACAAGGGAATTACCGAGGTCGAGCCGCAAACGCTAGCGCGGATAAACGAACGAGGAGTGCTTCGATTACTTACATAACCGATCACACGCGCGCGCACACTCACCTCTCATTCTCGGCGCAAGTCCTGTCGTGTGCCTCGGCGAAGTTGTGGACACGACGGACGACGGTGTACAAAAAAAGGGGGGTACTTACGGCGCTCAGTCGAACCGCAATC